GGGAAATAGATTCCATCCTAAGCTGCATAGGTCAAGGATGCCTCTGTCTCCCTGCCTTTGCCTTTTGCACTTCAGTGCACATCACAGTTTAATTTGCAGGGGCTGGGATGTGCTAAACATCCCTAACAACTGTGCGTTTTGTGTGGTGACGTAGTTGGATGTTTTTGGAAGTGCTTCTGCACATACTTGGTGTTTCAACCTTGCTGTGCTGTGTGAAGATGCACATTTTAGGGATTTGTGTCTGCCTCAACTGTCCATGCAAAAAGCTACCCCTGAAGGTGGATGTGAGGATGCAGTTCCATGAGACTTTAAGCTCTTGAATGTACAGAGGTTACTAAGTGCACTCAGGAGCTGCTGAATGAGAAGTCAGAGATACCCAAACTCATTACCAGGCAGAACATGGTGGGAGAAACCTTTGCTTCCCACAGAGCCATCCCATGTCTTATCCCACCACTGGGATGTGTGAATTCCAGCTGTGGCAACAGTTGTAGGAGTTTGTAAAAGACCCCCTAAGAACTCTAAAATCAACGACAATCAAGGGCTTGTTTTCTGTTTGAGCTACTTCCATCTCCCAAATTAAAACCGACGCAGAGGAAGAGGGAGTGAGGGAACAGCGCTCAGCAAACAGGTTTCCCCCTCAGAGAGGTGATATTTCTGCAACCCTGGCAAATGGGATCTGCAGAAAACCTAAATCATTCTGCAGTGTTGGGCAATATGTCTGTCATTACAGACTGGAGATATCTGGCATGGACAGAGCACAGAGCAACTGTGCTGGACAGTTTTAGGAATTCTTATTCTGAGAAGTTTTGAAATTTTGAGTTTTTCAGCTTTTAGGAAGGCCCTATGTTGCTTGACTGCCCTTCTGGAACAGAGAGCTCTTCCTGGTATTTTCTGGTGCCTGCCGGGATGCTGGCTGGCTCCCTGTGCCAGCAGCCTAGGTGCTGGGGAGAGATGCATACTCTCTCCGTGTATCTGATGATTTCAGGCTCCTGAATCAGTGTAGGTCTGGAAAGAAGAGGTGTCACATCACAGAAGGGCAGAAAAAAAGGACAATATTTATTTTAAGTCCACAGCAATGTTGAATGGAACAGGGAGTAAGGCCCAGACTCTGCTGCAAAGCAGATCTGGTTGCATGAGAGTAGAGTCCAACAGGGAAGCCTCTTCATCAGGCTTTAACCTATCATGCTTTGTGTGGCCTGTGAGTGCCATGCAGTGTTGCAGATGATAGACAAATATGATTGTTCATAAATAATACAGCTAGGATGAGAACAGTTCTCCCAGCTAGCCGGATGACACCCCTGCCGTCGGATGAGTCCTGGGGTGAAATGGACTGTTCCATCCCACCCCCCAAAAGATGTATGGCTCATCCCACACCTCTGTACTTTCCCCTAAAACATCAGAGTCTGTAACCCCTTTGGCCCATACCTTATCCCAGCCCACCTAGGAGCCCCTGATAAGGGGGCTCCGAGGGGCCACGCGCCCTCTTGGAACCTCTCCCCCACCCTTGGAGCTTCCCCTCTCCTAGACCCTCCTTTTGTCTCTCCCCTGCCCCACCCTCTCAGGCCCGGCCACGTGCTGCACCTGGGAGCACGAGGCAGGACCTTCCTGCACCCCCAATAAACCTCTTTCCCCAAGAGCAAACCTCAGAGATCTCTGCCTCCATCCACCCACACCGTGCTGGAGCGTGATATTCCCACAATGCAGTGCTGCAGCCACTTTTCCCCATCACTATTTGGAAGCACAGCACTGGGTTTTCCAGGTCTTCACTTCCCTGGTGTCATCCCATCCTGTTGTAATCTCCCTCTGTGCTGCTCTTTCCATCAGCTCTTGACCCCTGTGAGGAGGCGATTAGGTCTCAAAGAAGATCAGATGATGGAAACCAATTTTAGAGTGGAGAACAGGAAAAAAAATCATTATGGGAAGGGCTGCCAAACACTGACAGGCTGCCCAAGGCAGTGATGGAGCCCCCATTCCTGGAAGATTTAAATGCTGTGTGGATGTGGCAGCTGGGGACATGGGTTAGTGGCAAGTTTAGCAGTGCTGGGAGAATGGTTTAGCAGTTCTGGGAGATGTGATGAATGATTGGACTTGAGTATCTTAGAGGGCTTCTCCAGTCTAAAGGATTCTGTGCTTCTGTGAATCAGGAGGGAAACTCTGTGCTCCAGCAATGAGGATGCTCCAGTGCAGGTGGCAGCGTGGCTCTGACATCTGCTACAAATGTCCACTGGGAAAGCAAATCCCTTCTCTCCACGTTCCATCCGTGCAGCTTTGCTAATTATTAATGAGGAGTCATTACCAGGTAGCTCATCCTGGAGCCACCAATACCCAATCTAAGACATCTAAGGGCTTGCCCCAGTTTTTCTGTATGAGGCACCTATGTCTATGGGAGAAGAGTTGAGAACCTCCTCTCAAAGAGCAAAGTTGCCTTTTTATTTTTCTTTTACAGGGTATGGAGCAAATGTAAGAGTAATAAAAATAATATTTGAAGCAATAAATGGAACTGCATAGTGTGTATACTATTTTTTACTTTGAGTTGCACTTATAACAGAATTGTCTTAATTCACTGGCTCTCTTGCAATTCCTTCACTTTGCTAAGTCTTTTCTGCATTTTAATTTTTTAAAGCAAATTTTTAGAAGGTTGGTTTTTTTCATGTGCTATGGCTAGGCCAGGTGTTGGTTTGTATAGGAACATTTATTTCATGCTACTTAAGGAGGAGGCGAGCTGGGTGGAGTGATGGCTCTAACTGTAGAAGAGACTTTTTTTTTATTCTCCTTTAATGGTCATACTTGTTTTATGTTAGATCTCTGGGAGCTGTCGCAAAATTATTAGTCCCACTGAAAATGGTACATTTTTCTTTTTTAATGAAAATTTTTATAGAACTCTCTAGGTATCAGACTGCTGGTCTACCACTGATAGCTTCAGTTAGTGCTTTTATTGTCTGCTGTTCCCTTGCAGGAGACACTTGATTTGTCTTGCCTGTTTTCAAGAATTATTAGAACCAGCTATAGTTACTCAAATCTTTTGATTAGCTAGAGACTTAAAAAAGCTGTTTATACTCTATTTTTTATGGAAGGCTTCAACTCCAGAAATTGCTTTACTAATTGATTTCAGGATGGATTTTCTTGTGGTTGAGGAATTAATGCCTGCAGTGTCACTTACATGACAAATCTTTGCCACATTGTGCCTAGGCTTCACTGTTATTTTTAGGAAAACATACAATATACTGGGCATAACTAACTGCAGTTGTGGTTTTTTTTTTTTTCCACATATATGATACTAGAATTATTTTGTAGTATTTTTTCCAGTAACTTTGCATTTCTACTGTTCGAATGTTTCTCTAACGCTGTGCATGAGCTAAATTAAACTGTTCATGAATAAGCTCTTCTAGTTTCTGTGTGCTTCATATTTCATTGACTGCTGTAGAGAGAAAGTCTTCAGATATTTGTGTCTCGTCTCTTGTATTATTCTGCCTCTCATTGTCTCTCTACAACAGCAGCAACAGGGGGATGTCCCTGATCTTGCAGTTTGCAGTGACCATGGGAGACAGTTTTGGTGCTAGCACTAGTTTGCTGATATTATGGCTCAAAGGATGTCTTAGCAAAGAGGGGAGGAAGTAAGACCTAAATTTTACCAGAATTTATGGAATGGCTTCCCCTGTTTAAAAAAAACAAACATCTGAACATAAACAACGCCATGCTTTTCTCTCCCAGGATGAATTTAGTTTTGGTTGCTGTTTCTAGGGGACATTTAGAGGAGTGGAAGACACTGGTGCTGCTGGATTTTTGGTGATTAAGGCATAAATAATCACATGAGCACCACACAGGCTCACCTTTTTAAAAAGTGGTTTTTGGAGCTGGTATCCCACTGGTTCAAAAATACTCACATGGGTCTGCAAAACAGCCCCACATGATGAGGCAGAGAGGACAGTGTCTGATCTGAGTGTTTGTGGTTGCATAGTTCCTTTGGATTTTAAATCTTCACATCCCTTGGGTCTGTGATTTTAAACTGACCTTGTAGAACAACTCTAGAGTAAGGAAGCCTTTCTATCAGGCTTTCTTCACTGAGGTCTTGGGAAAGGTTCCTGAGAAAATCCTCCTTAGGGCAGTTGGATCTTCCCTGTTGTAGGGACTTTGAGGTGGCATAAAGTGGCAATGGTAACCTTTGACTTGTTAATTTCTCATGGTCTAATGGAAAGGATCTGCTCCTCTATGAAAAGGAGAGAAGGACTCCCCCAAGCAGTAAATGTTTATCCCATTCTTTGCATGAAGTTTTTTTATTTCCCACTGGATGTGTGTAGGGATTCAAACTTGCTATCCTGCAATCAGTAGGAGAGAGAGATCTTCAATTTGCAAGACAAAAAAATATTCAAGGAAAAGCAGAATGTTTGATCATTGCTAGCTAGTCGCTCTTCTAGTCTGATTAAAGCATATATATTCATTGCCTTGGCACTTAATGAGGAGCCAGGAGATGGCACTGAAAGTGCTACAGGATGTGCTCTATAATAATATTTACCTGTGTGTCTTGTAGCTGTTAAGAGGTATTAAATGGGTTAGACATTGATGGCACACAAGAAAGGAAGAGAACAGTCTGTTTATTTCACTTTCAAATATACATGCTCTTAATTTGAAATGCAACTCTTGACTTAGTTCTTACATTATTTATTATTATTAGACACCAACGCCTTCTCAGCACATTTATTTTGTTAAATTACACATCTGAAATTAAATGCAGCCTCCTGTCAGCTTTAATATTCTTCTGCCTGTTCTTATAATTATTATTGATAAGAGGTGACTTTCTAGTTAACAATCAGTTAACAATCAGATTGATAAGGCAGCTGTTATTATGTTACCTGTTTTGGAAAGCTTAGCTCAAGGGCAAACTGTCATTTCTCCAGAGCGGGATGCTGAATCCACAGCCTGCAGACTGCTGGCAAAAGTGGTGTTTTTGGCTGTGCTGTGCCCAAACTGCCCCCAGGCTGCAGAGTTGTGTGTACCTGCAATCAGTGAGCGTGGCGGCTCTTGGGGGTGCACAGTGGGGTGCCCCCGGTGTTAATTTTTGAGTTGTCAGAGGGTTTCTGCTCCTTTCTCTTCTGCTCTTCCCTCCTGCTCTCCGAGGCCCTTCTCCGCATTCTCAGGTAGTAGATCCGGTTGGCTTCTGGGTGGGTGACTTTGCAGAGGGGCATTTTGTAGATGGCTGGGTTTTCTGAGGTTATCAGCAGGAAGAGCAGCGCGGAGAGGCAGAAAGGCCAGGTGCACACTGGCAGCCCAAGCTGGCAGGGGACAGAAAAGACACAAAAAAAGTGTTACTTTGGTACTGCTTTTTGGTCTCTGTGCTTTTGTCTGCCTGTGGCTAAACTCTTGCATTTGGGAAGCTGGGAGTGCCTTGATTCCCCTGAAGGCACAGTGGCTACCAAATGCTGCTTCAGCTGGCCACACAGAGGTCTGCTTTCCAGCTGAGTGTGTGGGGCTGCACAAAGCATCTGACACTGCAGACCTCAGTCCTGTCAGAAGCACAACTTCAATACTGATGCTGGATGGAACCTGGTACCAGCATTGAAGCAACTGAATCAGGCTCCAGAGCTCTGATCACTGCAATGAAAGGCAAGACACCCAGTTCACACGTGAACACCTGAATTCTCTAACAGAAGAGCTAAATTCTATCCTCTCTGATCTTCAAAATATGTATGGAGAGTATTATTCACGCATATTCACTCTCCCCAGTGACAATATGACATTAGCACCACATCCAACCTTCAGCCCTCTCTGTTCCCCTACTCCGGACCTGAATTGAGGTCTTCCAAAAGCAAGATCACAGGGATAAAAAGTGGATGTCCTTTTTCCTGATGCCTCCCAAAAGCAGGTGTGCTTAAAGCATCCCATATGCAGGGACCCACGTGGTACTGAGAAGATGCCAGATGAAAATGCTCAGTGCATGAAGCTGCTAGTTCTAAAATTTTTTTCTTTTAAGTTAGTAAATAAATTCAATTAAAATATGGCTTTGCTTTAATCTCTCAGATCTTAAAGAAGAAACAGACATTTCTTCTTCAGTCTTCGTTTCTTTCTTGATTTGTCCAAATATAATAATTTTGTACTTAAGAGAACAGTCTCCCCCTCATTTTAGTTCTCATACCCAGTTCAAACTTCAGTAATATCTGTGGGCAGGGTTTGAGAAAAACCTTGAATGAAGAAAATGAAAATTTAGATAATTTGGAATTGCTGAAAGATAATGTTCAACTAAGTATTTAATCTCAAACCATATGCTGTTACTGGTACTCACATATACATGCACAACCCTGTTGTGGATAACATGATCCAAAGATCTTTGAAATTTTATTATCAGATATAAAGTCTTCAGAGGCACAATTCAACTGACACAGGGTTTGTACAAGACCTGCCAACTGGCTTCAACATTCTCATTTCAATGTTGTCAAAGCTGACATGGAGAATTTTGAGGCATTTCCTTAACATTATATCTGAACAAATCAAGATGCAATTAAACAAAAACAAACAAACAAAACAAAACACTCAGGTAAAACACAAACCCCCACACTTACCACAGAGAGGGCATTAGCAAGAGCTGCTCCGGAGTAGGCACAAAATAATGCTGAGAAGAGAAGACCAAAGAACGCTCACTATGGGGAAAATATTGTTAAATTCTCAAAAAATATAAATTCAAAAATATGAATTGTCCAGCAAAATATCCTCCCAGCTACCTAATGTGAGGCTCACTGCTAGAATTCAAGTTAGTTGAAATGTCCCAAGAGAAAATGTCCTCAAGTTGCACCAGGGGAGATTTAGGTTGAGTATTAGGGAAAAATTTCTTTACAGAAAGGGTAGTCCAGCCTTGGCACAGCTGTCCAGGGCAGTGGTGGAGTCCTCATCCCTGGAGGGATTAACAGCTGTGTGGTTTGGAAGCTGGGGACATGAATCAGTGGTGGCTTTGGCAGTGCTGGGGGCATGGTTGGATTGATGGTGTTGGAGGTATTTTCGAACACAAATTATTCTGTGACTATATTTTGTCCTATCTGCTCTGTAGAGATGGATGGTAAGAGAAGAACATGGTTTTGTCAAGACGAAGTGATGCTGGCATTTCTTTTATTTTTAATTTATTTTTATTTGGCACAACCTGACCCACATGCAGTGGGAATTGCAGAAATTCTCCAGCAGGGCTGGACTTCAGAAATACTCTGCCCTGTGGCTTCACACCACAACCAGTTGCCAAGGAGTCTCTTTGTCCCAGTTTGACAGGGATGGCCAAACAGGAGGCAAGGCATGCAAAGATTAAATAAAGGAAGGAAAAGCTACTGAGAATCCCAGAAACTGTGCTCAGGACACTGAGATAAAGATAACTGGAGCCTGGGCATATATTCACAGGAATGTCTTAACTAGGAAATTTCTTAAACTCTTCCTACAGTGCCTGGTTTTGGCTGCTGTTGGATGAGGGGTCTTTGGGTGGATGGATTTGAAACTGACCTGGTGCAACAGCTCCCTTCTCATGACACATTTCCCCCAGTGATACATATAATCATCAAAAGGCTGCTTCTATGAGTCTGTTGAGTTGCTAGTTGGCTAAACATGCTCATAGATTAATTGTGCTCATTCCACAAACAGTGCTTCCACCCTTTCTAGATGTTTCCATATTATCAGGGTCTAACACTCTTATCTCTGTACTTGCACAATCAAACCCAATGCTGATGCCACCAGAGAAACAGCTCTTGCCACGGTAGCTACTTTAGGGACAGACAGAGTAATGGCTGGCTCTAAACCTGTGCTCCTGTCTTAGGCTGGAAATGCAAGATGTGTCTGGGGGTGTGTGTTCTATTGCCATCTGTTAGAGGTGAGGTAGTTATCTTCTGTTAATTGGGCCACCTGTTAAAACAGATGGGGCAGGGTTTTTTTAATCTCTTCTACAACCAATCCTCCCTCCAGGAGATATCTTTTGTTCATGGGCCAGTGAGTGTCACTGCATGAGAAAATTCCATCATCTCATGGGGAGATGTTCCACCCAGGGGGAGGAGCCAAGCATACCTGCCTGGATAGAATCTGACTTTTGGAACTCCACAGCAGCCTTTTCCCACTGCATTCCCAGAGGAGCAGCTTTCTTCTCTGCAGGATTCCCAGAACAAGACCAGGCCCCACCACTGGAGCTTCAGAGGAAAACTCCACCCTTCTCCAGGATCCCTGCTCCACCAGAACCACAGCTGGCACTGCAGGAGGGCTGCAGCCACCATTTAATGGGACTGCTGCCACCACCCTGACCAACAGGGTATCAGGGCCTGTTCTGACTCTGTCAGTGTTGTTTTGTATTACTGCATTTTAATTATTTTTTTTTAATTTAATTTTTCCCTAATAAAGAACTGTTATTCCTGCTCCCATATCTTTGCCTGAGAGCCCTCTAATTTCAAAATTATAATAATTTGGAAGGAGAGGGTTTCCATTTTCCATTTAAATTTCAGCCTTCCTTAGAGGACACCTGTCTTTCCAAACCAGGACAGCTCCTCATAAGCTGCCCACCTGCACAAATTTTTGCCTTCACTTTATGTAAATAATACTCACCACAGGCAAGTGAGAGCAAATGTGTCTGCCAGGTCAGGGCGTAGAACATGCCCCCGATGGCAATGCAGGCCAGGGCACAGTTGTAGTTGTGCAAGCCAAGGTAGATGCTGTCAAACGGGGATGCAATGCTCAGAGCTGCAGGACAAAGGCAAGGCTGTGAGGTCAGGTGTGAGAGGAACCTGCAGGAGGAATCTGTCATCTCTTTCTCATAACATCAAGACGGGTTTGTCTGTTCTCACACATGCACATTCAGAAAAAGGAGGATGTCAAAGGAGGCTCATTGTTTTGGAGCTCTGATAATGTCCCTGCGGTGGAATTTGGCTCAGTCTCAAACGTTCAATTCAGACAAACTTACTTGTATTCACTGAGTGTGTTATATCCACACACACAGGTGGAAGATCCAGCCATTGTGGGAAAACCTTCTCACCCGGGCATTCTCCTTGCAGAAAACTGTGCTCACACACACTGTTTAAACCTCACATATATCCTAATTTTGAATATCAGAGGCACAATCGCATGTCTTTTGTGTGTGCAAGTAGACTTTTCAAATTTTCCTAGCAATCTTTGTGAGATATGGTCTAGTTACTAGAGGTGGTCACTTCACCCGTGCAGTGGAAATTCTTCACGAGGATGGGAGCTGGGGGTCTGCCCCAAATCTGACCTCTTAGAAACTTCTGCAGCATTTCTCACAGGCTTCAGGAGTACCAGTGAAAAGCAGAGCTCAATATGTAGTGCACAAACCACTTTCCTGGCACTTGTAATATTAATACATTTCTTTCTATATTGTCCTGATCTGTCTCTGTTTTATCACCTTATGTTTGTCCCCAGAAACTTTCCCCTGTCCTTTCCTTTCTAGACTGAATATCACACCTCTACAAGACCTGCCATATGTTTTTAGCCATACAAATTGTGGACAGTTTTATTTAAAAACATGAATATAAGACAGCTACATCTTGCACAAAGTGCTTCAGAGAACAGAGGACTTGATGAATCACTGCCTTTTCTAAGGAATCAGACTACACTTATTCTGTCATCTGTGTTTATTAACACTGGTCTCTTAAGTGGCATTCATGTTGTCTAATCTCTAGGGTCTGCTTCGTGTCTCTCTGTGTTGTTTCTCTCTGGCTAGTGGAGACACAGGACATTTTAGTGGCATTCATTTTGTTATTTTGAGAAATCCACAGCAGGACTGAGCAAACTGCATCCCACAAAAGTGTTTATCTTCCTTGGCTGATTAGTTCTGAGGCAGACCTTTGCTTGTGGTTGTCATTTAAAGCAATTGTGGCTGCAAGAAATCAGTTGTAAAAGACTTTTCCAGATTTTCGCATGATCTCCATGGGATTTATCACATCCAGTGGCTAGAGGGTTAAGTAAGGTGGAACTAACCAGCTGGCTGAGTTACAAATTTAACAAAAAATGTGAAATTTAAACAAAACCTGCTTCTTCTCTTGTCTGCACTGTGTTGTGACCTTTACTAAGAGATTTCAAATTTGGAGATAGTTTGAAAAATGAGAGTGGTGTCCCAACTACTGCCAAGCGGATGCAACTGGACAGAATCTAGCTTGGATCAAGATGCCTTGGTTGCAAAAATAACTTAATCAGTATTTCTTACCTGCAAACATCCCCACGGCTGATCCAATTGCAGCATGTAAACAAATCAGTGGGGAGGAGATGAGCAGAGCCACAAGGAAAATGCCTCCAGTCCAGGGGTTTCCACAACCATACACTTGTCCAATCCCAACTGGGATGGATTGTAAGAGCTGCAGCAGATGGCAGAAAACAGCTTGTTATTTATTGTCTTTCTGTGCCCTGAGGGACACAGCAGTCTTTTTGTCCAAGCTATTGTCTGAAAAGGGAAGGAAGAAATCCTGACATTGAGCTGGACTCTGAGCACCTCATAGAATCCCAGAATGGTTTGAATTGGAAGGGACTTTAGATCACCTAGTTCCACCCCCTGCCATGGGCAGGGACACGTTCCACTATCCCAGGTTGATACAAGCCCCATCCAGCCTGGCCTGGGACACTGCCAGGGATCCAGGCCAGCCACAGGTGCTCTGAGCACCCAGGGTCTCTCCACTCTCACAGGGGAGAGTTATTTTCCCAGTATCTAATCTAAAGTTATTCTCTTTCAAATTGAAGCCATTTCTCCTCAGGGGAATAGCTTTAAATGTCCCTCCAGGCTCTTTTAAGTAGTTTCCCTCAATCTTTCCTACACAATCCCTCCTGGTATTGGAAGGCCTTAGTTATGTCATCCCAAAGCCTTCTTCTTTTCCAGGCTGAATAAACCCAGTTTTCCAAGCCTTTTCTTATAAAAGATGTGCTCCATCCCTCTGATCACCTTGGTGCCTCCTCTGGTCTGGCTCCAGCAGCTCCACGTCCTTGTGCTGTTGGAGCCACGGCTGGGGCAGCAGGTGGGATCTCAGCTGAGCTCAGGGGCAGAGGGGCAGAATCCCCCCTGCCCTGCTGCCCACGCTGGGGAATCAGCCCAGGGCAGGGGGGGTTCAGGCTGGGGTGGGTCCAGCTCTCACCCACAGCATCCCCAGGTCCTTCTCCCAGGGCTGCTCCCTCTGCTCATCCCCAGCCTGGGTTGATCCTGGGGGCTGCCCTGGCCCAGCTGTAGCCCCAGCACTTGGTCTTGTTAAGCCTCATGAGAGGGCCCCTTCTCCAGCCTGTCCAGGTCCCTCTGGATGTCATCCCATCTTCCAGGTGTGCCAGCTGCACCTCTCAGCTTGGTGCCATGTGCAAATCTGCTGAGGTGCCCTGGATCCCTCTGTCTGTGTCATTAATGAAGATATTCAATAACATTGGTGCCCAGATGGACCCCTGAGGGACCATCTGGGATGCAAGCCATTGACCATAACCCTCTGGATCAGTTACTCTGTTCTACTTTGGGAAGGTGACCCTCCAGAACTAGAGCTAGGCATGAGGGGACTGGGTATAAATGAGTTTCTGTCACTTTGAAACCCTGATTTTTCCTCTGAATTTTCATATTGCTACTGACATTGTTGCTGATGTTTTTTTAACCTGGTCAGGAGGAGGTCATATCCAGATGTGTGCTGGATGTACACTCCAGACTAGTTTTGGGACAACACACTGAGGAGAATGAGAGTCTCAGGTGCTCTGCTCCATCAGGCTCCACCAGCCTTTCTGCTGGATCAACCAGGCCTGTCCCTGGGGATTATGTGGCACTGAACCAGCCCATGTACTGTTGTGAATTCTGACCCACGTAAAAGTGCCACCCAGAGGTGAACACCTTCATGCTCACCTTTTCAGTGAAATACCATAAACCTGTTGGTACGAAGCTTACCAGGGGCACATTGATGTCAGACCAGGTGATATTGGGCACTGCAGCTACCGGTTTGATGAGGGTTGTGGGAAAGAAGGGATTGTAGTGTCCTGTGGCTGCCAGGTACAGGGTCACTGCAGTGTTGAAGGGCAGAGTGAAAACAGGAATGTCCCATTTGCTGAAGATGGATCCCAAAGCACTGGACAGTACTGGGCTGAGAACAGGAGAATAAATAGAATTATTACTTATTCATCACAATATATAGTGGTGAGACAGCCTGCCTCTTTGATCACAAAATGACAATTTTGGCAAATAAAGGCCAATACAGTTCCTTGTAGCAACACCAGGAGCAACACCAGGTGGTGAATAGCTTAATATCTTAATCTGCATCAAACAAAGAGTTGTCAAAAACTGTTCATCTTACTGAAAAAAATAATGTCACATCCATGTATACATCCAATATGTCATCTGGGCATGGACAAAGGTAATCTGACTTACTATTCAGTTTAAAATTTGAACAAAAAAGCTGAAAAGAAAATTTTGGGAATGTCATGTGAAGAACTGGGGAGAACTTTAGATGATCTAAAAAAGCTGCTACCTTGAGGAGGCAGGAGGGAGTTGGAAATTACCCAATTTGCTCTTTTTTTGGCTTTGTTTTGTTCTTGTTTAAACAGTTTGAAGGGTATCAGGAGATGGGTCTGGAAGAGAAATAAAGCAGAAGAAGTGATCAAAGGCAGTGGAAAATCTTCCATTAAGAAAGATAAAATATTTACTATGTTGGACACTATTTCTGGGAACTAAGAGGCCCAACAGAGTGTAAGATGAAATCACCACTGTAGCAGAGCTGGGAAAGGCATTGGTACTAGACTTCACTCAGACCTTGACTGATGTAATTTTGTGCTGACCAGGTACCATCTGAAATCATACACAGTTTACTGAAAACTGAGACTTGTTTTTAAATAGCTTGATTGAATATTTTTAGCATGCAAAGTATTTGGGGTGAGAGTCAACTTAGAGTCAAAACACAAAAACTGTGTAAACCTTGAAATACCATGGCCTTTCCCAAAGTTCTTGTTTGTAGAACCTGGTATATAACATTTGTTTGATCTGCTTTCCTCACAACATTTCCAGACTCCCTGATTTCCACTTGAAGTGTGTGTCCTACATGAAGAACTTTATGGGACCATGTTGGCAAGGTAAAATCTGATTTTTATGGGCCCCAGACAGCTCAAGGAAGAGAAGAAATGACCAGTCCTTTGTGCAAATGGCCAGTGTTCTCCTTCCAGCTGAGCTCTTCTGCTACACGTGAGCTGAACAGCTCTTATGGTCTACTCCAGGTAGCAGTGACCATTACAGTGCATAAAAAAAATCAATTTAAAGAATTTAAGTTTTTCAAGGAACTGGATTTGAGCCCTAGAAGCTGGTTATAAAAAAAAAACCCAACTCCATCCAAGTTATTTGGTATTTCAAAAGCAACATCTTGTGTCCTGCTGTACAGATACTATCAGTGGGGAAAATGCTTTGTTCTCCCTGTGTAATCTCAGATGAAGACTAACTTTTTTTTGACAAGTTTGTTTCCCAAAGGAGTTTACAGATTTCCTGGCTTGCAGCTGTAGGGAAAAAAAACAAACCCAGTACTTCAATGAAAATGGTGTCCTAATTTCTGTGCTTAAATACAAAGCTTCTGTCACTTACACATCTTGTCAGGAAAAAAGAAAACAGTTAAATAAATGCTGACTTCTAAAGCTGAAAGTCAAAGTATCGGTTAAAAAAATCACTGAAGTGTCTGATTTTAAAATATTTCAGCTCTACCCTCAAGACTTGTGAACTAAACAATGAAGAAAATTTTGAACAAAAGACCTCAAGGAATTCTGGCAGATAAGACAAATGAAACATTCTTGCAACATGCGCTGGGTTTTGAGAGATTGTTATAAAATGACCTTTGCTGAGAATGACTACAGAAATGAAATATAAAACAAATCTGATCTTAAAAGCAGTGAAAATCCAATAATGGCTTGCATCTTACTGCTTACAGTGATAAAATGTGACTATTAAATTAATTTCAGTTAAGGCTGTTAAACAGATTCTGTAGTGCTGTTCAGATCTATGTTTAAAAAGGGCAAAATTTAATCCTGGACAGATATGGCCTGTCCTTTGGAGCTACTTGGAGGAATTAATTTTGCTCATGACTGGTTGCACATCTGAGAAGGAGAATTCAGCCCCAGAATGAGCACAGGGCTGATGAGGAAGAAGCGTTGTGGTGTTGGGTGGAATGACCTCCAGCCCATGCCTGTCCTGCTGCTGAGGACCATTTTCAGAGGGCTGGGGTGGGGCTGCTTTGCCTGTGTGCTATAATCAGTGTTTCTGTGCCCTCAGCTCCTACCCCCACGTCCCCCATGAGCTCTGCTGGTGACGAACACAACCCTCCAGTGCCATCACCATCAGGTCCGGGGTCATGGTGCAGGGCAGAGGCGGTCTCCATGTGCCTAAGCTGTTTGCAGCCAGACCCATCCTTTGGGAATTGTCCATAGGAGGAGTGATGCCTCAGGTTTTAGCTTTTATATTCAGGCTCTGTAGTGCTTTAGTGTGTACTTCTGAGTTTCATATTAGGGGATAATGAGTTTTCTTCACAGAGCAGGGAGACAAAATTCATTCTCTAGATGGGGACCAAGGACAAATGATCCAAATCTCAGGCCCAAAAGCATAAACAGTGGACTGAAGAGAGAAAAACAAGATGGGACTTGGACAATTAACTCCAATATGCAAATGGCCCAGAACTTATAAAAGTGTGAGACCCCGTGACCAGCCGTCCATTTTGTGACCATTTTGGTTCATCTTGGGTGTAGCCCTGGATGGGCTCTTGTGCTGCCCAAGGTGTATCCATGGAGGCCTTTTAATAAATCCCTACTTTATTCTTTAACTCTGTCCGGTCTCTGTTCCAGGTCAGCCTTCAGATGGCATCCGGAGCAGTGGCACTTACCAGGCCATGGAAATCACTGCCACAGGGGGCAGAAGCCACCAGTAGTAATCCCCTTTGTCAGAGTAGACGGCCATCAGCAGGCCCACCAGCATCCCATTGTAGCCGTGCAGCCCAGCTGCAATGGATGACCTGTGATGGAAACAACCGTGAGGCAGAAAGCTTTGCTGAAGGCAGCCCATCACTGGGACCCACAGAAATGCAATTTGTAGGCGTCCTGCCCCTGGCGAGGGTGTGAAAAAGCAGTGAGATTACTGATGTACTGCACTAGTGTGTGGAAGTGGAAAGTCTGGCAACTGCTGGATGATGGATGATGGAGGGGGATCCTTGTGACTCAAAGGACCTACATGGTTGTGAGGATGGCTGTCAGGGAGAAAGAACTCTGTGTTTTCAGGAAGATAGACAGCCACAGGGACAGGCCAGCTCTTCTTGGGCCACAACTCTGTCCTTGTCTGAATGTTCTGTCTCTAACAAGGTGAACTGACCCATCAATGAGCTTCAACTGATATCACAACCATCAATTTTTATTAAGTGCACGAGGACCTGAGGTGCCACCTACCTGTCCTGGCTGAGGGCCAGTGCAGTTAACGTGGACACAGTGGTTCCAGTGCAGCCCGTGAGCATCCACCAGGGGCTCTGGATGAAAAGCCCCACTAAAATGATCAACCCGCTGAGAGGGTTGTTGACAAACATCACCTGAGAGGTCCCTCGCAAAATCCAGTCCACCAGCTGAACCACGAAGGGCTTGTCTGGAGGAGATCAAGGCAAAACACTGTTGAAAAGGCATCATTTTAGCAAAGCACAATCTCTGCAGACCCTTTCTGGACACAGAACAGAGGTGAAATATTAACAGATCTGTAAAACAGGTCTCTGATTGATTGTTGTCTCTGCATATTGTGCATCTGGCCCTTGAGAACTAATAGGGATGTCCTGGGCACTGCTATAAAATTGACGGAGGGGCAGACAAACAAGTGATTTATTTATGGTGGTCAGAGAATAGTCAAAGGATTATTTGCATGGTAGATCATTTTAGATTCAAAAAGAGACAGACTCTTTTTGGTGTATAATTCAAATGAAGAGGAGGACTATGAAAGTATTTTGTAAGTCTATAGGGAAATATGAAAAGGAAGTGATTTTGCTGTTTTAGGAAGAAAATCAACAAACCTGAACATGGAGGTATGGTGTATATAGGAAATGGGGGTCAAAGGTTTCTAAAAAGCATTTTGAGAGCTAAAGAACATGAATTAGAAAACAGTAATTATAGCTTGGACAGTACTCAGGGCAAAGAAGCATTTCCAGAGGACAAAGAGTTATTGCTCTTTGGAGAAGGTTATTGAACTTGGACAGAGTAAACAGACACCAAGCACAGATACCTCAGGTGAGTGCAGGGATGAAGGCACTGCAATAACGTATTGCTACTTGTTCTCCTACTGCAAATTTACTTGAGGTTTTCTTCTGCCTCTCTTCTGGGAAAATTGCAACAATTTCTGAACTGCTGTGTGTTATTATAGGGTGATGCAAGGAGGCTGGATGGGAAAAGGGAGCTGCTTCCATGTACACAATGTTCAGATGTTCTTACAATATGCATATGCAGCTTTTATCTTCAAGATTTGAAATTAATAATCTGAATTTGAGTGTTCATTAGATCCAGTTTAAGGTGCCAGGGTATTTTCTGAATATGGGCAATGACTTATTCTTAAGAATTCCTTCCAGGCGGGGTTAAAGAGTTGGAACAAGGAGAAGGAGGAGAAGGAAGGGGCTCCTTCCAGGCTTGTCTGAACTAATTTAGCATTTGGTGTTGAGCTATGCAACAGGTCTCAGCAATACACTTAGTTTCAGACACCAGTATTAGGTGTAAAAATTCAAATATAACCAAAGGACAGTGGCCAAAGCTTTCCAGAACACTGAGTAAGAAAAGCTGTTGACAAAACATGGACCACTGGAGTAAAGAGAAAGCAGGAGGAGATATTTCCCTGTGTGTGGGGATCACACTGGTCTGGCTTCCTATTTCTCTTCCACTGGTGGAGGTGTACTGCTAACAGCCCTCACCTTGACAGAGGATCCACAGTCTTACACAACCTCTCCAACCCTCATCCCCAGTAATTTTGGGTAGCTTAGACTGTCTGCTCGCATTGCTCCTGTCTGGACAGTGAACCTTTGAGATCAGTCCTGGCTTCTATCTTTTGGCATTGTAACACCCTCTCAGTGCTTATTGCTCCCCCAAGGCTGGGAACTCAAGAGCCTTTGCCCCTAGCAGGATGCAGTTCCCCATCATCAGCCCACAGATGGATGAGAGACAGTGGCTGATCCAAGTTACAAAGGAGACTCAACCCCCAGCCCTGCCATGTGATTCTGGGTGCTGCTCTGTGAGACGTGATGCTAATGACATGTAACTGATTAAATGTGCAAGACATCTTAGGACTGTGCCGAATTTTGCCTGCTGCCATAGTGATGGCCACAGGATGCAGTGCGATTGTCTTCCTGAGAGTGAGATAATTAAAAGGCCAAAGTTTGCAATAAGCTTGGACCATGCTACCTGTGCTCTGCCTCAGGGGGTGAAACACACTTCACTGGAAGTACTGACGGCAATATGGATTTTCCCAAAAACATCCTTCTGCTTACTTTTCATCCACTCTCCATATTCGTTCATTTCTCCTGTGAGATACCCAAAACTATGGTGGATCCAGTTTCCATTTCTCCACAGCGGGTCCTGGGCTCTTGGCATCTCCTTGTACAGCTCCCTCTTGTTGGGATGTTCAGTCACAACAATCTCGCTGAGCTCCATCCTCTTTTGGTGATGGTAAAGGGTAACTGTAAATCACAGAGACAGAAAAATCTTAGAAAAACCTTTTGGGTTGGGCTCTGACAACCTCCAGAACCCAGTGGTGATATCTTTTATCAAAGATGGGGTGTTTATGGAGAAAGGATCTACTGGATCCATAGCTGGGAGTGGTGTGTGCTGCAGTGGTGTCTCTCTCAGGGATGGGGACCAGGCAGTGCCCTGCTGCTGTCAAGGGGCTGTGGCACAGACACGGAGCTGCAGGGGGAAAGAGAGACGTGGCATGGGTGCCTTGTAGCATCCCACCCTCACTCCAGTTCCTGATGCAGCCTGTGACAAGCTGCTGGTTGGATATGAGACATGACATCAACCAAAAAACTGATTAGCACATGTGTGCTGACCATGCCTGGCTGAGTGCAGCTACAAGTGAGTGGCAGGTGCTGAGAAGGGAGCCTGCTGAACTTTGTCCAGCAGTGAGCTGGAGGCAAGCACTGCAAATTTCCAGGACAGCAGCAGAGAGTAGGGGATAAGAAAATACAAGAGGAGAGCCTGAAGTGTGTGTCCTTTTTGATGATGTGAGTTGGTGCTTTTGTATATCACCAGGAATCTATGATGTTCCTCGTTCCACATCTGCCTTTGATAGACCAGCAGGAGCAACCTGGGGTAGCATCAAAACACTGCACAGAAATCAGCATCTACATGTGGGTTTTGACAAGGACAGGAGCATTGGCTCAGGGCTGTGTGCTCTTTAGTCAGCAGGTGAATATTCATCAGGAGTAGGGGTTTATTAATTTTCCAATTACAGCTGTGGGGCTTTACTCATTAAAAAGTCTGTTACCATATGAACATTAGAGGCAAAAATACACAAATACACTGCATTGCAGCATGGTGAGCTACACTGCAGGTTACACCCTCAAAATTTCATCTCTGCTGCCTGAGGGAGCCTGGCATCAGCTGTGGGATTTGCTCTGGTGATTTTGATATAGGGTGGCTGAGTTTCTTCTAGGTGTTGCCCCGAAGCAGACTGGGCAGTGAAAGGCTTGCCCCCTGTTTTGTGGAATATGGGCACCATCTTCCGGTGGGAGCCTGTTTGTGGGCGGCTCAGAGAGACTGTCTGTCAGCGTGGCAGCCTGCAGCAGCCGCAGGGAGGGATGCTCGGCTGCAGGAAGGGCTGCTTTGCAGAGAGGAGCACTGGCGGGAAAATAGCAAAAATACCTGTGGCTCTAAATGCCCTCAGAAGAAAGTCCTTGAGCAACAGAAGCTGCTTTCCCGCCCCCCGGCAGCGCGCTGCGGAGCGCAGCCCTGCGCACGCCCTGCGCGGTGCCTGCTCCCCAGTGCTCGGGCTCTCTCTGCCGGCGGCTCTTCCCCGCGGCAGGCTTGGGGTGACCCGCACCATCGCCCGCAAGAGAGCCTGTTGTGTGGGGCCGTACTAACAAAGCCTGAGCATCGCTCGGTTTGTTTGAGCCTAACGAGGGGAGGATTATACAAGGTATTAAATGGGCAAAAAAAAAACCCCACAAAAAAACCCATAAAAAACTAAACCAACACAAAACAAAAACCCCTTGTGGTTGTGCTAGGAATAGATGCCTGCAAACCTTGATAATTGGGATGGGAAGGAACCTAAAAGCCCATCCTATTCCACCCCCAGCCATGGGCAGGGACACCTTCCACTAGCCCTGGTGGCTCCAAGCCCTGTCGAAACTGGTCTTGGGCATTGCCAGGGATCCAGGGGCAGACACAGCTGCTCTGGGCACCCTGTGCCATAGTCTCACAGCCAAGACTTTTCTCCCTTACATCTAACCTAAGGCTCCCCTGTTTTAGTTTAAAATCATTCCCCTTTGTTTTGTCCCTCTCTGCCTTGTCCCCAGTCCCTCTGCAGCTCTCCTGGAGCCCCTTGAGGCCCTGGCAGGGGCTCTGAGCTCTCCCTGGAGCCTTCTCCTGTGCAGGTGAACAGCCCCAGCTCTGCCAGGCTGGCTCCAGAGCAGAGGGGCTCCAGCCTTTGCCCAGGGGTGTTTCACTGGGTTGATAAGAGGGAGGTTTTGACGGTCTGCAAAGCTGTGCTCAGTGCAGGAACAAACAAGGAGCAAAAGAAGAGAGAGGGCGTGGTTTTATTATCCCACTGTATTTTCTGATCTGTGATCTCATTCTGTCCAGAAGCTGCGTCCAGTTCCTGGTTTCAATTTAAGGCATGCTTGGTGGCTGCCATTTTTGGCTATTCCTTGTGGCTAGCCAGGAAGACTTTGATTTAGGAATCAGAGAGTTGGAGTTCCCCTTCTCCTCTCACGTGTCCTCTAGGCTGAGGGAATTTGCATGATTAGCTATAGGGAATTTACGTCCCTCTGAAGAAGGAAGAGACCAAATCCTACTGGGAAACCAGATATTTGTTCCTGGTTATATCCCATGAGCACTGGGGCTTTGTAAAATGCATAATTTCCTTGGGTGTAGCTTTGGGTGCTTTCAGGTGGAAGTCAGGGCATCTGAGCCCACAGCTGCCAACAGAAAGTTCCTGATGTTCCCATAGACAACTCAACCTGGGTGCTCCAGTGAGGCACCCAATAATTTTTGGGAGGGACGCAGGGTCAACAGCACAAGCAGAGAAGAGATTCCAGGCCAGCATTGGCTGTCACTGAGGTTGCTTTCCCTACAGAGGTTCACAGCCATATTTAGCAACTGATCTGCTAACAGAGGTAATTCTCTAGTGTACACTGGGACAGATTGCCCAGGGCAGTGGTGGAATCACCATCCCTGAAAGTGATCAAAAGCTGTGTGAATGTGGCACCTGGGGACATGCGTTAGTGGTGGCCTTGGCAGTGCTGGGTTATTGTTGGATTTGATGGTGTTAGAGCACTTTTCCAACTTAAACAATTCTATGCTTCTGTGATCCTATTCCATTTTGTCTGCTTTATTATTTGCTCATGTTCTCCCTGAAGTGCTTTCCAAAGGATTTCAAGAGCTGAGGTGGGCTCAGAGAGCTGCTCTGGATCCATGTAAAGGAGACAGGAACATGTCTTACAGTCTTGAAGTTTTAGGGATGCATCAGTGAAGAAAGGTGAGTGGTGACTTTGCTGTGACCATGAACTGTGCAGTACATCTTTTACCAAGCCAAAGGGCTGTGTCTAGGTCATAACAGCACATTAAAAGCTTATGCTCAATTCAAACCCCACCAGGAAAAATTACTTGGGAGTTTTACAAAGCAGAAACATGATTTCAGAGCTCCTTACAAGGCTGCAGAGCTCAATTCCCTCTGAAATGGAGATGTGGGATGTGTGTATTTTTAAAATTCTTGTCTTGCTCACATAATTTAACTGTCAGGGGTTAAGGGCAATGTCACCATATGAGACCCCTTTGCAGTCAGTTCCTCTCTGTAGGGAGAAATTAATATCTCCAGAGAATGATTGGGATCTCTTTTTCCTAATATACCTAGCTGAGTTGTGGAAAAGGAAAAAAAAAAACCAAGGGTGTTCTGCCTCTCTTTTTCACTGGCTGCATAGGGAGCCTGGTGGCTGAGCTTTTGGAGGTCTGTTTGCAGGCAATAAAAGTTCCAGCCTAAGAGACTTTGCCAAGGTCAACCTTGAAGATTTTGGAAATGGGATCTGTAGTCTCAGGCTAGTACTTTTAAATCACTGAACCATCTGCAATAGGCCTGTAACCTACATCAGATCGGGAACACTGAAGTTCTGGTGCTAAGAAAACCACCCCAAAACTCACCCCTTTTTATGATTCCTGCTTGCTTTCTTCTTGTGGAAGGGAGCTAAGTCTCAGTTGAATGGAGCACACTCACCCTCTTTGGATGGCAGAGCAACTTGGCACATGGCTGGAGGAGAAGGCTGAGGAGTTATCAGATTTGGGGGAAAAGAAGTAGTGCAAAAAATAAAAAAAGATTTGGGTGCACTGCTCTGCAGTGCTGCGGTGGTGAATTGTGGGGCTTTATGTAAGAACAGCTCAAGAGGCTGGAACAGCTGGATGAGACCCTAGAGGGTTGTGGTGGACACAGTGATCCCTATAGGATCATTTGACCCTGGAAAAAATAAACCATTCCTTTGCAGGGAACACCTGTCAATCTGCCGATGGGCTGGAGCTCAGTGGTACAGCCTGCATGAATAACAGAGAAATCATTCAAACAATTATCTAATTAAGGCTAATGAGAGCCTGGATCACTTATGTCACACCTAAGGCTGATGAGGAATTCCTTGAGAAAGGGTCTTTTGTTAGCAAACACCAATTCATCAGTGTAGAAATGAGCAGTCCTTCTTGTTAAGAACATTTTCCAGACTGCAGGGTAGTGCCAGGTGGTTGGGACTCACCTCCAGACCTACCTGTGTCTGCTCATCCCCCAGCAGACAGCTGCTGCAGCCTGCTTTTGAGGCACAGGGTGCTGACAGCACAGAGATGTATATTTTTAAAGCCTTCTACATCAAGCTCTGGGTTTCTTTTTGGCTTGTGCTGCTAAAGAAAACGTTCCCAGCATACCAATATCACAAAGCTTTCAGTGATCTGATGGCCTCATGCAAATAAAAACAAAACAAAACAAAACAAAACAAAACAAACCACCAATTTTTTGGTCAGAACAGTGAGACGGTGCATGACCAGCGTGATAGGTGAAGAGTAATGCCTGAGCCAAATGTTCTACAGGGCTGCTGTTTGTGTTGGGAGCTTGGCCATGTGTTAAGGTACCTGAAGCCAAGCCTGGATAAATTATCTTTCCACTTCTGTGCTGAAAGCACAGGCATCAGAAATGCATTGACTTCAAGGGATGTGGCCTCACAAGGGCCTTGAAAAGAAACAGTTTGCAAAAGCACATTTCTCTCATTAGAAGCCATAAAAGAATAGAGAAGAAATACCAATACAGCTAGAGGGGAAAACTTTGGGATGCTGACAGAATGCTTGGCTGAGTCATAATGACTTTGCCAAGTGAGGCTCTACCAGAAATCAACCTGTGATGTTGAAAGCAAATGAAAAAATCAGGGCATTTCAGAACAGTTGCTGAGGATGCATACAGTACAGTT